GAAACTGTCACAATAAGAGCAATGTCTTTTGACATTTCACTGTAATTAGTATAATGTGGGTTCTTCCTACACAAGCAATACTTTCTTTCGTTATTTCTTTTTGTATTATAATCTCCGTGTCAAGAGAGAACAAGCCGCGGACGCAATTATAGAAGTAAATATCGTTGTTTGTGGGAATATTTAACAGTGTTAGACAATATTAAATCCCAGGGGAAATTAAATATTTTATAATGCTGTATAAATAAACTGCCTAGATTCAGATTAGGATAACGAGAGTACAAAGATATTATGTTGCAAGGAGTGTCGCTTCAATTTATAAGAAACTAGCTATCGCCCGTGACACCATCCGCGCGGCATAAAAAAAAACTTAAAAACCTATGTGTTCTTCTAGACTATGATCTACATCTGTGCCAAATTTCACTGAGATCTATTGAGCCGTTTTGGAGATACCTTCAAGCAAACTTTTTTTTCTGTGCATCCTCTCTTCCGTCGATTAAAGTTAGGGAACGCATATGCAATTGCGTTTGTCTATGGGCAACGGTCACTTCGCTATTTCAGCGATTTCAGGAAAAAAAAATCTATCCATCAATTCATTCACAAACATTCGACATTTATATAATAATATTAGTAAGAAGTAGACAAATTTACTAAATTATGTAAAAAAAATTGTGACTAAAAAAATCATAGTAAAAAGGATCGTTTCTGTATCATCAAGGAATCGACTGACTACGTGGAGATATTTATCAGTGACAATTTGCCTTTATTTTAAGACTTCGAACAGATGTTTTTATTCCATTTTATGTAAACTCAACAAGCTTTACAGATATTTAATATAAGTTTCATTCAAAGGTGATTTTTAAATGAGTACACTTAAACAACTATACATTTTGATTGTATTAAAAAAGGTAAATTCAAGTTAAATTGAACGCGAACTAATTTTAGTTTTCCTTCAATTATCGCCGTGCCAAACACCATTTGTTTTCAAACTCAATTATCCATGGACTGTTCCGTAACCTTTTTTTAAAATTTTATTTATAGTTAGTCTAGTGTTATTTACTTAAAGAATTTGAATTGCCTATCTTTGCACAGTCGAGGACATTTATACCCACTTCGGTTAAATGTCATTCGACCTTCATAGTTCATAATATACATGCGTGCTAGATTACTCTTATTCAGTTCGCAGAATGGGTAGGTGATTTATTTCTTTGACTATACTCCAAACGTTTTAATGTTTTTGTCGAGGGAAGTTGCGCACCTCAATTTTAAAATTCAGGCCAGCGGATAGTGTGGCCGACATACGATTTATTCTGTGAAAACTGCAAAAACGATAAATTTACGACTCAGGTTCACTTCAGCGACTTTTAGCTTTTACTAAAAGTGTCTCTTTCCATACTTATCAGTTGAGACTAACATCAAAAACCATATATCATTACTCGTATAGTTTTATCCATGGTAAGTATGTTTATAATTCAACTCTCATAGTAATAATCACCAGCTACACGACCTTACAGAGGAGCACGAAAGCTACGCTTAGATGGTGACGAGACCATAGCCAACCACGCTGAACCAATGCGGGTCTTAACACATATCTTTGAATCTTCTCAGATATGTGCAGGTTACATCACGATGTTTTCCTTCACCGTAGGAACGTCGGATAAATTTACATATCTATATCTCAAATCGAAAAGCATATTTGTTAGATGGCGGGACTCAAATCCAAGACTTGTAAATTGCTTGTCAAGTGCTTAACTTCTGAGCCACCTTAAAGTAATAATAAGAGATAAATATTTACTTGTTATTTATAAGCTTCTTATGTTGATTGTACAGCTTTTCTACTAAATAATCCGTTAGTGAATCTTACTATTGATTCAACACTTAAGAGTCCTATTTTCAACGAGGAAGTTTTCGAGTACCATTAATATAAAAACTTTACTAATAAATTTACAGATCATATTCGCTTCATTGGCATCATTCCAGCAATTTTGCATGCCACCGCCTTGCTGGAATTTATAAATACTAATTTTGCATGATCTTCGCAATCGAATCTGTCTGCCAAGTAAATGTTTCCCTATTTAAGTTTTTTGTCATCATCATCTTCAGCTATACGTCCCCACCGAAGGGCTCGAAGCCTACCCTAAGTTAAGGGTGATTAGGCCATAGTCTACCACGCTGGCCAAATGCGGGTTGGTGGACTTCACACATATCTTTGAATTTCTTCTCAAGTATGTGCAGGTTGCATCACGATGTTTTTTTTTTCACCGTAAGAACGTCGGGTAATAATACATATGTATATCGGAAAACACATTGATACATGGCGGGATGCGAATCCAGGACCTGCAGATTGCAAGTCAAGTGCTTGACCTCTGAGCCACCGACGCTCTTAAGTTTTTTGTGTTTAGTTCCAATATTGTTCATCTACTGTTTCAAAATATAAGTTAAGCTATACATAACTTTAGTTATTTGCTTAGACGAAGTTGTACGAATTTGAATAACACTGTTACGCTTTCTAATACATATTAAAATATTCAAATGAAATCCGACATTGATTTTATTGTATCCAATATCGAACGTTCACAAAATGTACAAAATTTTGGTATCAGATTTTTTTGGTAGAAGCTTACTAGTATTATAAATTAGAATGTTTCGATGAACAGATGGATGGATGGTTGTTTGTTAGAAGGTATCTCTAGAACGGCTTCGTGGAAGTCAGTAAAATTTGGCATAAATGTTGAGGATAGTCTGAAAGATATTATTTTTAGTTTCGAACAAAAGCTAATATTGAATTTAAATTAATAAAAAAATTAAATAACTGTCTTTTTCGTCATTCCTTTAGTTTATTTCTTTTAAGGGACCTAAGTTTTGATTTAAATAATTATTTAAAATTACTATAAATATTAATCTTTATTTTACTTATACTTTAAATTAAATTTATTATACATCCTTATTTCTATAATTACATGTAGTCTTAAATCTTATGATATAAAATAAAATATTAAAAAACGAATAATTTACTAAAATATGTTATTAAAAGGAGTCCCTTAAGGCAAAGTCCCGAAGATACTGGCAGCGTTCCCCCTTTGGACAGCTAAAATAATTCTTTGACCGGGTTAGCTGCCAGCTCTTCGGTCCCCTGTGAATAAATAAAAAAATATATATAAAATATTGTGGAAAGAGATTATCAAATTTAAAAAATATCATTTGAGTATAACAATGAACGTAAGAAAAACACAACTTTAATTTCGCTGAAGCAGATGTCTATTAAACTTTATTCATATCAAAAAACTTTTAAGCGGCAGCTACAGGTTTTATGGCAGTTGCACTGCATATCAGACAAAGAAATAACTACTTTATTACAAACTTTTAAAATTTGTTTTTCATTCTATTGTTTTCCAATCTTAATAACAATTTCAAATGATTGTTGTTTGGCTGATATTGTAAGCTCTTTTGCTTTATTGTTTTAGAATCAAATTGAAAGACAGGGGCTAGACAAAGTGCATTTGCTTAGAAGCGATTCCAAAGCGAACTACAGAAATGTATACGCGACAATCACGTGACTTTTCGAAAGTTAATGTCAGTCTACTAAAGTAATAAAAATAAATTAAATAAAAAAAAATTGTAATAAAAAATTAAAGCTGAACACACCAATACTTTTTTAATCATCCCCCTTTTTTAACTTTATACTTTTGCGTAAGACTCATTCATTCTTATTGATTTCATTTTTATGTACCTTGAAAGTAAACAAAGCATTGTATTTTGATGATGTATAAAACTATATTATCCATTAGGTGTTACACAATCACTCCACATTTCACTCGCGTTTACAACTTATTTAATAAACAAAAAAAAAATCACTTCAACAGCGTAACGTCGACGAATGCCATAAAGTCGCTGGAACTGTTTTCACAAGCAGAAAGCAATTTCTTGTTCTGAAAGTATCATAGCGTAAACGAGATAACAGGGCAATAACTGGCAGATTCTTTATTCCATCCGCACCTGTTGCCTTTTTGATTAAATTGTTACGTTCTGATACAGTTTTTGAAGGTTTCATTTTAACTGCCATACTTATTTATTATGAATAGAAATGGTTACAACAAGAAATTCTAAAGACGTTTAAATTAGCTTTCGTATTTTATTTAGCTTGTACAGCAACGATAACTACAGTAAAATACATAATTTGAATTATGATTAAAATCGATATATCTTTTTATGTCTTTATTCAATTTAATCCCACTTTAAGTTGTATAATATTGTAAGAGCCATCTTTACTATACCACTAGAATTATGACTGAAAAGAACATTTCGCGCCATCTATCCTCAATATTTGTCTTGTTAAGAAAATAGCTGTTTGATAGTGCGTTTTATCCCCGAGTAGATGTCGCCGTACATTTTTTTTAATTAACACAAGAGGGAGCTCTTCTTAATCTATGGTCGAATTTAAAAATTATAAAAAGTAACAACTTACTTCGTAATTAAAATACAAACTCGGCAGATAATTTAAGAGACATCTATAAAAAAACATGAATTTCAGGATATTATTACAATTACTAATACAAAAAGTCGTTTAAAATACTCTTGAGTTAGACTTGTTTACTTATTAAGGAACTTGTCAAGTCATTAAAGTATAAATAGAATGATTGGACTTTTTATCTCGGCCATGCTAATAATACTAATATTATAAATGCGAATGTTTGGATGGATGTATATTTGTTTGAAGGTATCTCCGTAAAGACTGAACGGATCCTGCTGAAATTTGGCATATATGTAGAACATAGTCTGGAAGAGTACATGGACTACTTACTGTTTTTTTTTAAATCCCGCACAGATGGAGACGCGGGCGACAGCTAGTCTATTTATAAAACACACAGCGTTTTTTAACGCGAGATCAAGGTTACGGAGAACGCATTATTAAAACAACCTCTAAATTAATCATAATTGTGACTACACTTTGAGATACAAAATATGTTCAGTATTTTCTATTCATAGATTTATTAACATAGGAATAACATTGTAATATTATGGTGACTAATTTTAACGTAACAATGTTCCGTGCTTACATTCAGTAAGAAACATCGGTGTAAAGTGCACGTGCCGGCGGAGTGCAGTGAAAAATATTACGATTCATGTAAAGAGAAAAGCTAGAAATGTAAGTTATTTTTAGTGTGCTATACTTAAGTTTTGATATTATTTTTTAATTTAAAAATCTTACCGACAACGTTTTACTAATAAATAATGTCTAAAAAACAAATGAATAATGAAATATAATTTTTAAATTTTAGGTAGGTATCCACGACATTCATGAAAATAAAAAAAATTCAAATAATAATTGGAAAAGTTCTTACTTCTTGTCTTACTAATATTATAAATGCTAAAGTTTAGATGGAGGGATGGATGTTTGTTTTTGAACAGATTTTGATTAAATTTGGCACTTATGTAGAACATAGTCTGAAGATCACATAGGCTTAAAACTAGTAGTTTATAATTGTTATTTTAGTGACATAAGTATGATTTTTAATAGCCAAATAATTAGTTTGCTTCTGGCAATTTTGAACTATTTTTTTTCTGTGCTATCATTTTTATTAGTATCTATTATATAAAGCAGTACCTGTACAACGCGACTCCGTCTGCGCGAAATAAAAAAAAAATAGTAATCTATGTTCTTCCAGACTGTGTTCTAGATATGTGCCAAATACTAACAAACATCAATCCATCCATTCGTATAATCATTCGCATTTATAATATTAGTAAGTAGGGATTAATTTTTCAATTCGTGTGTATTTAAAACTATCATATTATTAACGGGATATGAATCCACTGTTATCTATGATAACACAATCAAAAGTATTGCGAAGCAAATACTATGCACGTACAAAAACATGTGTCAATATAAAGTTTTACTACAGACAAAACATTACACATTATAATGTAATATTCATCATCATCAGCTCGCTATACTTCCCCACTGAAGGGCTCGGAACCTACCCTTAATCAAGAGTGATTAGGCCTTAATCAACCACGCTGGTACTCCTACAGTTCTTGACCACAATATTGATCTCTGATATTCAAATGTTATGTAGATTGGTATGATGTAATGTTTAAAGTAGATGATTGATTAATTTTAGTAACATGACCTTAACCTAGCCAGCTTTACGGCATAATTTTTATCTAAATTATGGAGATGCATATACGTGACTATTGCATAAGAATCCATGCCGGGGAAGAACAACAAACTCGTTTATTACCTGTATGTGTATAACTAGTAACTCTTCAGTTATACCTTCATCTTGTGATGTCATCGTTCGTTAAATACGGTCGCGACGCAACGGAATTAACAGCTGTCTGCAAATACATGATTTACAACGGCTTATAATTTTTTTTCGATGCATGAACTTTTTCGAAAATCGAATGGGATTTAAATAATATGTAAATAGTAGATAGTATTAAATAGTAGGTAAAAGGAATCGCCTGAACTAAAGATGACAGAGGAACGTCTTAAATAATACGAATGAAAATAGGGAGATCGAAAATAGAAGAAATACTAAAATAATATAGATTTTTATTATTAGAATATAATTGTAACTGGCCAGTCAGTGTGGTCCTAAAAGTTTATAGTATTTAAATCTTCCATAGTTCTGTGTTGTAGTACATGAGTAATTACGCCACTGTTTGTCGCATAAGGAAAACACTGCTATGTGTGCACGTGACAAAGATATTCAAGTGTTATGAAGTTATAGAGAGGACATAAGGACTACTTGAACTAAGTTTTTCATCTTATCAACAGTGCTATGTGTTGTTGTATAGTTGGAAGCGCATGTGAATATTATACGTTTCAGTTAAAATAATTAGTCAATTTGCCGATAGATGTCATAAAACAAAATTTAAAAATGTGTGGGTTTGTATATTTATAACGATAAATCATTCCTATATGTGGTTTGAATACGTGTAAAAAATACGTATTTTATTATATTGTTTATTTTATTAGTCGACTTCAAAAAGGCTGAGGTTATCAATTCGTCTGTATGTTCTTTTTTTTAATACACTACTAGCTGTCCGCGACTCGATTAAAAATAAATGTTGGCCGATTCTCAGACCGACTCGATATGCTCACAAAATTTCATGAGACACAAAAATTCAAGCCGTTTATGGGAACGAAAATTGTGAGACGAGAATTTTATATATAGGATTTAACAATAGATGGAGCTTATTACAAATGTTCTACGACATGTCTGTCAAACTCGAAAACTGAGATGGAACACGTTGTGAGATAGAGCCACCGAAAAAGTTTAGTTCATGATGTCCTGTCTTTATATTTTTAAATGTCTATGGTACGCGATAACGTTCCGAGTACAACGATATGAGTAGTGTGATATCATTAGAATGCGCCGGTCATACTTATCTATTTAAAAATAAATCAATGCTTCTTTGTTTTTTGTTGTGTCTGTTCCTAATCCATAGATCAGATTATGATGGAAACTTGGTACGGCAACACAAGCTAAAACATGTAACAGTTACGTATAATAAATACAATCGAACTTTAATTATATAACATCTTATATCTGGTGTCACAAAATTGATAAATTGCAAATTGTTTCTGCTGGAAACAGAGCTGCTGAATAGTCACACTTAGCGTAGTTCTAATACGAAAAATTGACACTAAGAAATGTCCCTTAGTGAACTTAATAATTAATTAATTTAATAATAATTTCCTTCTTTCCAGATGTTAATCAATAGGTTAACCATTTTTATAAGTCTGTTGGTACTAATAGCCAACAGTGAAGGTCTACGGGTATTGGTCTTCTTTCCAATGTTTTCAAAAAGTCACAGCATTTTAGGACAAGGCGTCGTTAGTCGTTTACTGGAAGCTGGACATGAGGTATATTTCTTTAAATAATTTATAACAATTAAGTTAGAGCTAATCACGATCCCAATTGATGTTAAGTGATAGTCATAAGAATGGAACCGTATATTCATCAATTTATTTTCGATATTCCTCTTAAGTTGATGGTATAATTTTTAAAATATGTAGATTTATCTCAAACTCCTTTTCCACGTTACTTGCTTCTTTATATTTTATAGTTGTAGATCGCGACTCCATGCGCACTTAATTAAAAAAATATTAGTAGACTATGTGTTCTTCAAGACTATGTTCTATATCTTTGTCAAATTCCATTCAGATCTGTTGAGCCGTTCTGGAGATATCCTTAAACTAACATCCATCCAAAAACATTCGCATTTATAATATTAGTAAGATTTCTGATTAGAAATTAAGCCAAGAATCTTTCTTTTTTTTATAAACAAAACATTAAATGTATTTACAGGTGGTTCACGTTACTTCATATCCTCGAAGTAAGCCAGAGCCGAGGTTAAAGGAAGTTGACGTTAGCAGTATCGCGGAAAGGCTGCGTGAAGAAATGAAACACAGTAGTAAGTAATTGATTCATCATTGTGTTAACTTTCTTTCTTTGTGAAAGCTATTGCACTCATGAAATTGCTAATGATTTTTTTTTCTAATCAGTCTATCTGGATGTATTATATTAGTCTAGATTATCCTAGATTTATGATCATGCTCGATCTTAATATTTGTTAGAAGTTTTTAATATTCATCATCAACCTGCCCCAATTCCTACGGAGGGTCGGCACAGTATGTACTACTCCTCCATACATCTCTATCAATCAATCAGTTAATTTGCCATAATATAGTATAAATGTTATTAAACGAATCAATGAACAAACACATTCTGCCATCAGTCTACTAAATTCTCCCCCTTTTTACACACATCCTCTTTCACATAATCCATCCATACTTTCTTTAGTCTTCCTCTACCTTTGTAGCCATCCACTTTAATATTTTTGTGATTGAAAGAAGTTTTTAATATTAAATGCATGAATGGTTCAAAGTATTTCATTTTTGCATTACAAGACATGTAACAATTAATCCCTATGTCTGCTATACTGTATCGTTTGTGATAATTAGCTTATAGATACGTTTTTATCAGATATCATACGCAATCAAGAATTAACACGAGTACTAATGATTATCAATAGAATGCTATTATAGTATTGCAACGTGGTCGCTTTAAAATATTATCTGGTCTACGTATTTATTTGAACGAATCAATTTAAATATACATATATATATTTTATATACTTGAAGAAATTCTTATTACGGTATGTCATGTACACGTGGTTAACTGGAAGGGGACTTCCGAGCCTCTACGTGACATCAGACTGATTCATGTACTTTGTCAGCTTTAAATCCCCTGTTATGTACTTTCATTGTAAACATTTTTTTTAATTTTTAAAACTATTAAACTATTTCCCCCTCGAAAATATCGTGATGTTTTTCAAAAATGTATTAACAATGTAAACCTCCCCCCCCTAGACGTGTCAATTGATGAGTTAGTTGATGTTTTGTTACTCCTTAGTTTGTCGTTTTTAAAATGTCGTATAACTGTGCTTAATTTTTTAATTATTCAGCTTCAGATAATCCATTCGCACTCAGGAACTTGGTCGGCAAAGGCAATATTGGTGATTCCGTTTTATTCTTATACTTTACATACGACCTTCATCGAAGAGTGCTCGAAGAAAAGCTTGTTGTGGATCTATTGAGTGATACAAAGGAACATTTCGATGCTGTTGTTATTGAGTGGTTCTTCAATGATGTTATAGCTGGGTAAAAAATTATTTATTATGATATTAAAACTTAAAACAAAAGATATATATATATATATATATATATATATATATATATATATATATATATATATATATATATATATATATATATATATATATATATATATATATATATATATATATATATATATATAT